CACACATTGCATGTACTGGGAGTGACCGTGAAGAAAGAGCCTGCAGAGATCTCGTTTCTAGATATGCTCAAGCCGTCCCCATGGCCCAGCTCTGAATAAGAAACTGAGAGATGGATGGATGGATGGTCAGAGCCTTCTGTGAGGTTCCCGTTATTTTCCCACATACACCCATGAATCGAAGTTGAAGTAGTAAATTTCACTTTCGTGATGTACTGATCTTATGATCTAAAATGATTCGGAAGGATTGTGGGAGCTTAGAGATACCAGAGAGCAAATCTGTAGATGTAGGATAAGGCATTGCTAAATTAAGGGCCTTCTCACTAAAGCGCAGGTCAGACACACATGCCTGCCTTACACTTGAACTAAGGCTACCTGACTCGCTGTACTTAAAGATACGTGTTTCTTTTGGAATTTATTTACCTATTGCCTATAGCTAAAAACAGAAAATCAACAAAAAAAATGTCCTTCGTGTAATCCATAATCTTGACATTGCACGAATGAGGTTCTTATCACAAGACAATGCAGTTTATATTTTACTATACAGACTTACATTCAAAGCTTTTTCTTAGATTGCAAACATGATTTGCAAGGGATGGATGGATGGATGACGGATGGATGGTAAATTCAGTTGCACAGAGCAGCAAAGGATTATAAAGTGCACTGAAAGAAACATAACAGTGAAAAACTCAATACACAGTGAGAAGACAATACACAGTGCAAACAAAGTTGTGCGAAAATGAATAGATAGGAAATGAATCACCAAAGCATACACATGAATGCACATAACCATTCATAGTTATATACTGTAGGGCGTCATGACCCATTTTTAAATGTTGTCCTGACATGTTGTATGGTTGGAGCACGGGCAAGTATGTCAGGGGAAGGCATTGTAGTGCTTTATGCCGGCGGGTTCAACCAAGCCCCAGTACTGCTTCTTAACTGACAATGGTGCAAAAAAAGCACACTTAAAAGGTGCTCCAAGAGAGCACCCCGTGGAAGGGATGGACAGAACTATTTGTGAAATTCTCCAGTTTCGCCTCCAGAGGGTCTAGGGTCAGTTCTGTGATGAAGCTGGATTTCCCAATGAGTTTTTCATGAACTTATTTTGCTTCACTTGAAAAACAAGTGTAGTGTACACTAGTCACTATGGACTGCTAGAACATCCTCAAACTTCAAAAGACCTGAGCCTACTCAAATATTAGAGTCGGCTCCGGCCTTTCTTGTCCAATGCCGTTAAGTTGCTCACCCTGCCCAGTCTGCTGGTCAAATGGATCCTTCCAGGCCTTACAGCCCAGTACCACCTCCACTTCCTCCCCCTGGGTGGTGACTGATCTCAAGGGCCCCTTGGCACGCCTGAGATCCACCACTGCCTCCTTTGACGTGCCGATGCTGAGCTGCAGTTGGTTCTCCCAGCGCCATATGGCAAAGGACTCTCCTAGCCTCCTATATCCTGCTCCAGTATCCAGGCAGCCTTCTTCTGCTGGTATGAGCTGGTGTTGTAGTGGAAACCTGTTGTGTAAATGGGTGCACAGGCAGGGATACAGGACAGTTCCCAGAGGTGTCTCACCGTCCGGGGATTGGCGGGGCATGGATGGGGCACCAACACCCTGGCAGATTCAGAGGGCCCAACACTTAACAGGGGTCCTTGAACATACAAAATTATATACAAAATTTCTCAGGGGGTCCAAAATTTCTAGTAACACCCCTGCTCCGTGTCGCCTAACAAACTCTCGTCTTTTGGACAGATAATCTATGATCCAGGAGACTGAGAGGACCAGGCTGGTATAACAATAGTACGGGCTACACGACAGTCAAATGTGATTAACAATTTCAGATTTTGGCCATTGAGAATGGGCTGCACTGTGACATGTTTGTTTAATTACATCAAGTTTGGCTGGAAATTGGTTATGTAACAAAGGGCAGGGCTTTTCTGCGAAGTCTGATTTGCTCAAGGAGTGTCCCGTCAACACTGCAAAGCAGATGTTTGCTTAGATCCACGGTTTATGGGTTATTACTTTGCCACAAACTTAGAAACAGGAATAATCTCACATACTTAACAGGTACAAGCCAACACTCTCAGTCTCCCAATCTCGCTGTTATTGGGATCAGAAACACTTCTTGCTGTGAAGTGATTTATATGTAATTCATTTAAAAAGCTCATGATGGTCATTGGTGGTCACTAAGTGGTTTTGCTGGTCTGTAAACCATTCTTTATTTCAGCATTTCCATGAAAAGCAACAAGAGCCTAGTACTTGAAAAACATATTGTCTTTAGGTACAAATGGTGTGGACATCATCTAATGGATGTAGACATTGCTGTGGTCAAGTCACTGAAAGCGATATTCGGACAAACACAGCTGTGACTCAGTATTGATCTTAAATGAAAGGCAAGAAATCGGCATCAGTGGCAGAGTATTAAGACTGAAACAGGCATTTGTATGGAAAATCCCTCCCCCCAAAAAATGGCACTAATCATTAATGTACAACATGTATTTATATAAATATTTGAATGGAAAGGTGTGGACAGTACTTTGTTGTAAAGGGTATATAGGGATTACAGTTTGGACTCCACTGTCCTTAAGGCAGCCTGGTGTTTCGAGAGACTCGTAATCTGTTGGACTTTAGCACAGTCCTTCACAAGTGCAATGCCAACCTGCTGTAAAGTAGGAGTACTGGGAAGCCCTTGTTACTGCACTCGTAGGTGAGCCTGAAAACATGTCTTCTGTAATGTATTGTAAAATTCATAAATATACATAGCAGAATGTACTAAGTCGTCCAGAAAGTTGCGGAAAATGAATTCCTCCAAGGATTCTCCAACTCAAGCTCCAAGAATGACATCAAGCTCTGTACCACAAAAGTTAAACATCTGTGTTGCTTGGACAAAGCCAGTTCTGTGACTTTTCAATTCTGCTCATCTAAAGTTATTAGCTATTTTACCATTAATTTGCATATTATTCAAATAGCTTAAGGTTTTATACTTGATATACTGTATATATTCCTGGAAGCCATAATCTCTCCATCTGATATCCAGGGCATCAACTACCAAGTCCTCGTCTCTCCCCATCACAAACATCACAACGATAATTTGTATACTTTAAACTTGTAGATTCTGCAAACACATTACAATGTTACCAAATTCCCCCTGAAGCCAACAAATGCTTATTTCAACACTGCAGCTGTAGAGGGTTAGAAGATTTCTAAACTCTTAGTAACAGACATATTGCAGACATTATACAAGGCTACTAATCACCGCTCGCTCGGCTGGGCTTTCAAATATGTATCATTATTTCCTTCATCCTAATCACTGACAGAATTAACCAGAAGCTCTTGCTTTCTGAGCACTGTTCAGAACGAAATCTTGCAGTCGTTCCTATAAGGAATATGCTGGGATTCAGCATATACAGTATAGACTTAGCTGTTTACAAACAATTACAGAAAGATTTACTGTGGGAAAACTGAAAGGACATGACAGATCATAAATATATCTATAATAGAAAGGACTGGAAAGACAGAGAAGACCAGTTAAAGAAGTATTAACCGCCCATTAAATTCTGATTGTGATTATTCAGCAACACATGGCCCAGAAGAATCGGTACCGTAAACGGCATGGTTTCAATACAGTGGATTTCTATAAATTGCCCTAATATTCATTAATATTCATATCTTAAATTGTTGTACAGATGAAAAAATGGTCCACAGGAAGGCAAATATTTCCAAAGGTACTAAAGGAGAAACAAGCAAAGGCAAGGTTGGGCTGACAGGAAATCTGTTCTAAAATCATCCAATTATAGGCATGTAGTAAAGGCTCTTACTAGCAATGTGGTCACTGTTGGTGGTGAGATTACCAAACGGTTGGTAAAGTATAATCCAATTACCGCAATTCTCTTGTGCCAAACCACCAGATCATATTAGCAGCTGCTGGCAGACAGAAAATAAAGGGCTAGAAAAGGAAGGCGGCCAGGCGATGTGTGTGACCTCCGGTGTCCCAGAACACAGCCACCGCACACCCAGCACTCTTCATATTCCGCCCCAGACAGAACAGGTTGCCAGAGCTACACAACTCCCACCCATTAGCTGCAGGAATCCGGGATAACCATGGCAACCGGTCTCTCACCCCCAGGGAGACGAGCAGCAGAACTGAAAGGCTCCATTCAGCTTCCACAGCCCACTGAGCTGTTAGGCTAACAGTCTCTGTGGTTCCAGTTGAGCTGGAAGATGTGCTCATTAAAAGGGCCACCATGCAGATCTCACATACGTGATCTCAATCGCTCTTCCACTCACTATGATACGCGTGAAACTCATATCGCCTCTTACATATTCACATGTAACATATTTCTTCAAAAGTTTTGCTTTTTCCAATTTCTGTCCTGTGGTTTTGCTGACTAACGTGTTACATCAGCATGTGTAAATAGCCTTTACGGTCACTGAAGTCTGTTGTTTTCTTTTGACTATTTAGATGAAAAGTGGGCAATTTAACCCCTGACACTCATCAGTGACATCTCCAACACTGGACCCTTTCTGCACTCAAATCAGTCAGCACTGCAACCACTGGCATCTAGTTAAGATGTGTTTTTTCTGTAATTCCTTTAGCCACACCAGTAAACACCATAACATTTTTATATTACATATACTTCATACTGGAAATGGCCATGATTTCAGCAATGGAAAGATGCTCAACTAACAAATACAACACAATGTATATGTAAGCAGCGAAACACCAGGAGGGGCAGTAATGGCCAGAGAGAAGCAGCCAAGCTAATGTGTAAGCAGCCAGTCTCCATGAGAGCATCAGCTGTGCAGCTGCTAGAGCTGTACGCTCACTGGGGCCCAATCACTGGACTTCCTCATACTGCAAACACTGCATATTGCAAACTGTGAGCTGCTGAAAGGAATTACTTCCACAGCAGAGAGCTTGCAACATGACTGATGCAAACAACTACAGTACCTTGTTCTCCATCACCTCCTTGTATTAATAACAAGCAGAACTTGTACTAATTCAAGGAAACATTGTGCTTCTATAGATATTTTCCCTTTCAAAGACTAAAATAAGAACACCTTCCAGGACCCTCCACATCACTGCACTTTAGTTCTTTAGATCTTCCATTCTGTTCACTCGCCAAAGACCATGCAACGTCTTACTGTTATCTGGAAAGCCCATGTTCAGGGTGAGACTCAAATGTCCTCTGCAGGTTCTTCCAGCCAATGAGGGCTTAAGCATTGACCTCGATTTGCAGTCCGATTTCACACAGTGCTTCCGCTGATGGCTCCGATGTTTTTCTAAGAGATCACCAGGCTGGATTTTTGGGTTTGCAAGATCTTGTTGGATTTAAGATAGTCTGGGCTAAATGTCAGCGAATGAAGATATGGTCCATTTGAACTGGGGGACCTTAAACCCAACAAGTCATTTAGCTAAACCAACAAATCTCATTTCGTGATCCAGGCCCCAGACTACGCTGCGTAAATATTTCCACATTTAGGAATACATTTCTGCCAATAAATCACTAAAAATTGAGGTAAACAAATGAGCTAAAGAAGGTGGTTAAAAGGAACTGGTCAAAATGGCAGGATTTTCCGTTTAAGTGACAGTGGACAGTGGAGAGTTTGCTGGAACAAACGCAGCAACATGGAGGGTTATGACTAAAAGCCAGAAGAGCGGCAGGTCATGGGCCCCCGTCCCCAAACACTCTCACCTCATTCGGTTTAACCGTTACTCTGCCAGTCCCTAAACGATGGAAAGAAGGTCAGTCCCGCACTGTGGGGGTGGCAGCATCGTATTACTGTGGACTAAAAGATTATTCTTACTATTTTCTGTCATTTAAAAGTAATTTTTACAGCAAAGGCGGTAAGACAGCTCACTAATTCCAAGGCTTCATTGGTGCATCTCAAACAATAATAATGCAAAATGAAGCAGCTACTTCTCAGATTCTAAACTGCTCTAAATTGCATTCAAATAGACCTCTAGTTTGAGAAATGCAGCAGTGCACTCTGTCCTTACTTATTCCTGCAAACAGCCATTTGCATGGTTTCTCATCGATGTCTTGTTTGCAAGTGCAGATCACAGTTCTGTCCACACATATACGCCGCAGTTTTCTGAATTTTAAAAAAATTCCCACCTTACAACACCTTTCAGACAGTCTGCTATTACTCTTGCTCACAGTTTACATTTACAGCTGCCACATTGCATGCCTTCATTCATTAGGAAATTAAAAGAAACCAGCACTTGTCTCAAAGCAGAAGATCAGTCATTTTTCTCACCAGTGCAGATACACATGGAGGTGGAACCTATATTCAGAGCTTTGAGGAATGAGATCTGCTGCTGTAGTTAAAAGCTTGAGAATGAAAACAAACGCAAGCAACGGCAATCTTCTTTTGTTAACAGATGATGACCTGTTTATATAACAGCTGTACAGATTAAGAACCAATTGAGTGACTAAACTAAGGACTGTACAATTTTTTTTTTTTCAAAAAAATCTAAAACATATAGATCTATCATACATAAACCACAACACATACGGTTTGCAGTTTACAAAACAAACCACTCCACAGCATACTTAAAGTTTTATCTAATGTAGATTTCTCGAAAAAAATCATATTATCTGCATAGACTGCCAGTAATAAGATCAGTTGGTTATGAAAGCCAAGAAAAAAATCATTCTGAAAATCCAAAAAAAAATAACTACCCATACTTCGAAGAATGCTATTAAGTTTTGCTTTTAAGCGTAGTAAGTTAGAGTCATTATGATAAATGTTTTCTTCTCTGTGTGTATAAGCAGCTTCTGCACATGCATGTGATATACTGGTTCGCGGTTTTACTATTTTCTAGAGATGACCCATCTCTTTCACGTGAAAGACAATATGAGAAGAAGCACACAACACTGAGAAATCTTCTCTGACATGACATGAAACTCCACTCACAGCAAAGATCATTCGCCTCAGTATCACTTTGTCCAATATGACCACACAGATGCGGTATACTGTTTACTCACACATACTGCATGTGCCTATGCTGTGTGCAAACATCAAAATTCTAGGTTCACGTGCATGAACAGCAGAGATTTTTTTAACTCAAAGACACTGGAAAAAAATTAAAAATCACACAAGTGCTACAGTCTCCTTACTACTGCAAATGGATACAATCGTAAGAATTCAGGCTATGCTAACGTGGGACCATTTTTCAGCCCAAAGTTAATGCAAAGTGTGTAGCAGATTTCACACCTTATGGGCACCGTGGTTTCTCACACAGGAAACCATCCGGTAAACAGTCTAGACAGACTTTGGGCAAACAGCTTTGCTACTTCAGTCAGACGGGAGGTAAAATTTGGTTCAAAGTTCTACAGCTAGGATTAATACATTTTATCATTCTTAAAAATGATTTCTCTTGTCATATAATGCACTTCCCTTTGCACAGCAAATACATTCATCTAGTTTTCAAGTATTTTCAATGAAGGTGCAGACTGATCACTCATGAACAGGCAGCAGCCTATGCCGGGACAGCAAGCTGCAGCTGAGAAGAGCCAGTTATGGTGGAACATTTCCATGGTGGAGAACCTACTTCCTGCCATGTCACTGGGAGTGCAGCCAAAGATCTGGTCCTGAAGCTCCACAGCACTGGGCTCATGCTTAACTTCACCTGGTCCACACCACTTTGCTCTATATTTATAATACAAAATGTCAGAAGCCCAAACTACATTATCCTACCAAAAATGCTGGGATATCCATCAAGAAAAATAGGTGTGACTACAGAATATGCAAATATTTTGGCTTGTAGCGAATAACATAAGCCAGCACAGGGCCCCAACAGGAACAAGAATGGAGGAGGAGAAAAAGAGCAGCCAGGGGAACATAGCAGAACACGGCACCAGCTACAAATGATTAGAACGTCTCCCATGACACATCAGAGCAGCTGGCCAACATGTTAATCATCTGGACTTATAACTACTCTGGTTCCGGAATGTGAATGTGCTCCACTCTAAATTAACGCCCGTTTTGTGCTGCAAGAGTTGCTCCTCTGAGTCACAGTCATTTTTGTCTTGCTTTGAGTTGCCCATTCGGGCCGGATGACATGGCAATCGGCTCCACATCCAGCACCGTCCCTGGGGCCAGTCGGCTTCGGAGACGCTCCACGCTCCTCTGGTAAAAGGCCTTCTCCTGTTCCAGAGTGCGGACTATCTGCTGCATCTTGGACTCCTGCGCCACAAACTTCTCCACGTTAGCCTCCAAAGTCTGGGCCTTGACATGGGCAGTCTGCAAGGAGACCCAGCAAACTCTTCATCACAGCCTAACAGCTTGGCCATCTTGCCTCATTACCAAGAAAATGTAATACACAGAATTGTGTTTTATTTACTAGCCCTGATCTTCATCATGTGCCAAAGAAAGGATCTAATCTAGAACCAACAAACAGTCATCAACAGATGTTCTCATCATACTAGAAACACAAGTGCAATTTGATTAGACATTCTCAAACCCCTTCTTACAGTTATGTTGTCAGCATTAGATTCACCCATAAAACGTTTTCCATGCTTTTCTCAACTTAGAAAAACTATTTCCTGTTTTGCGTCTACCCTTAGAGAGCTCTGGCGCCACCTCCTGGCAGTCAAAAGCACCCAGTGAAAATAAATCAAACATGAACAAACAAGAACATAAATATAATTTGCAGCCATTCAAGAAATGCACACCGCTGGCATATTTCTACACCAAGCATCTACGTAGATCCAGTACTACAGACACTCATGCATGCACATGCCAGACCACCCATCTACCTGAAGCTTCACCATCAGGTCCAAATTCTGCTTCTTTAGGTCAATGTTGGTTCTCTCTAGCTTCTCAAGGCGGTCAAAGTCTTCAGATAGGGTCAAAGTCTCTGACATTTCCAGGAACACTTGGTACTCAACTTCATACGCATGAAGCTGTTTGGAAATGTCAATTTCCATAACCTATTAGGATAAACAGAAATCACTAACCATGGATCATTCTTCTCATCTGACACATACTGAAAACAATGTAATATAACAGTACTTTGGAATATCAGTAACTGTTTTCCCACCTGAGAAATAATTTGCTCCATCTGTGTCATGGTAAGGTTAGGCATGGTCGTTTTAAGGTAATCCACAACAGTCTCGAAGCTGTCACACTCGATTATGTTACGTTCATGCTTCTGCAGGAGACACAAGGCTACCTTGAAGACCACTTCAGGGCCTTGGGCAAACAGGACATCTGCAATAAACCACAAACAAATCACCCAACAGGAAATATTTCAGTTTCACTTTTCCCCCCGTATAATTTGAAAAGGCCTTCAAAATCACGTCAGAGAAAAAGCTATCCCCTTAAATGTGAACGACACCGAAATACAGGCAGTCCCCGGGTTAAGAACGTTCGACTTACAGACAACTTGTACATACGAATGGACAGCCATGAAGTCTATTATATTAAAACTTCAGGTTAAATACAGTGGATCATAATAACGAACACAAACACTACTTTGTGATGTTCTCCACAGCTTCAGCAATTTGTTGGCCTAATGTACAGTACAGCACTGTATGCAGTTACTTTTATTATTACTGTATAATTATTATTATGGGATGTATTATTAATTTTCCAACTTACCTCCGAATTCAACTTAAGGACCGACTTAGGGAACAGATCTCATCAACCGGGGGACTGCCTGTACTCTATTACTACACAGAAATACTGATAGAGAACATAAACGTCGGTTCACATGTCCTAGGTCAAACGTCATCGCTACGCGTCATGCATAACGATCCGAAAACGTACCAAAGATGCGGGCCACGAAGCCCAGGGGAAACTGAGAGGCAAAGATGGTGAGAAACCAGGGGGCGGCATACAGGCAGGGGTTAACTTTGTGACACTCCAGGTGATTGAAGACGTCTCGCAGGTAGTCGTGCAACAGACGGGAGATCTGGTACATCTGCATCTGAGACACAGAGGCGGAGACAGAGACTTAGCTGCTGTAACATGACATTATGAAGAGTGCATTATTTTGTGAAGTGTAATAGAGCAAAACTGAGTGGTCACAGTGCATGTGCCTGTCAAGGTGGGCCGTCACTGTGCAGAATCCCAACACCTGCTCACAGATTCATGGGGAATGACACAGTGAAGACTATTAAAGCCAGAACAGAAGAGGTCAACAGACAGAGTCTGACTCAGCTACCAATCAGAAGATAGACAGGAATCTCTGGTGACCAGGAGTTCGTTAATGAATAAAGTCCATGACTCGCATGTGGTCTGATGGAATAACAGCTAGGAAATAAAGATGAGCTGGGATTTCCTCTGAAGCCTTTCGGACCTGCTGCCGGTAAGCTCACCTGCAGAAACACCATGTCAGGCCGGTACTGCCTACGGAAGCCCAGGCCGTACATGAGGAAGCGCAGCATGTCGAAGGCCTGCTCCTCGCTCATGTGCAGCAGCAGCAGGCCGGCCACGAAGCTGAGGCCCTGGCAGTAACCCACCTCCACGTCCAGCAGGGAGTAGGCCTTCAGCAGATTGTAGAGGGACAGCTGCCCCGCCCCCAGCTGGGCGGAGAAATATGGGTGGGCGGGGAAGGTCCGCCCTGTGGTCGTGCACACACACACACACACACACACACACACACACACACACACACACACACAGAGCACTGCCATCAGCACGGCCAAAACCTAAGAGGTACAGTGATTACAGAGCTTTGTGCTGCTATAACAGGCTGTATGATCAGCATTTACCTGAGTATATAAATGAACCAATCAAGGCACGTATGAAATGAATAAAGACATTACAGCGATGCTCGACAATGGCTGCCTTCTACTGTATGTCTAAAATGCTGTTTCCATTAGCGCAAGAAATGAAAACAGGAAACATGGACAGCTAACAGCTAAATTACATCAATGAATGATCATTTTTATGAATAAAGGCCAGCGGTTTGTTAATTACTGTTGTAGTACTCAAGTTTTACACATCTCTCACCCTAAGAGGCCCACATGAATCGATCTTGACACCCCCAAAGTCTCTGTCATGACTCAGGCTCTATCCTTCAAGACAGCTCTTTTCATAATGACTCTAACTTACTACGCTTAAAAGCAAAACTTAATAGCATTCTTCGAAGTATGGGTAGTTATTTTTTTTTGGATTTTCAGAATGATTTTTTCTTGGCTTTCATAACCAACTGATCTTATTACTGGCAGTCTATGCAGATAATATGATTTGTCATTAAATTACCCGGACTTTGTACTAAGGAGCTCGCAGGGTAAAATCTGTTTAATGTCTGAAATTCACAGACTGCAGCTTACCCAGGTCTACCAGTATGGCGTGCTGCTGGACAGTCAGCTGCTTCAGCAGGTCCTGGTACGAGGCTTCTGGGGGCTGCTGCCGGCAGGGGAGCCAGTGAGCCAGTCGGTGCTGCTGGGACAGAAGCCGCCACACCTCCCCCCGTCGGCTTTTAGGGACACCTAGCAGTGAGCAGGGAGGCAGGCGATCGGGAAGCAGGAAGGGAGTCCCAGAGGCGCAGGGCCACTGGAGGTGCAGAGTCCCAGTTGG